ACACACACACACACACACACACACACACACACACAAAAGAGATCAAATAATTAGTATAATTATTTGATCTCTTTTGTGTGTGTGTGTGTGTGTGTGTGTGTGTGTGTATAATTAGTATAATTAGTATAATTAGTAAAGTATTTTGTTTATATCGAAATATTTATATCAATATTTTTTACATCAATATTTCTCTTAAAAAAAGACATTGTTCTTTCACGTTAACATTTTTCCTTTCTATGGCATAGCAGAATCTGTCTTCGAAATTATTTTCACGCCAGAATTACCATGGCATCCTGAATAATACAACGCAATCTCTAGCGACTGTTACAAGCCCGAACATCTTGAAATTTACGTATTTCTCTCGCGATCCTGTATATTACCGAGGTAATTAATATGCTAATTGTCGAAGCAATATCTCGACATCCCGTTGCAGGTCGCTCAGAGTTGAGCACTCGGCGGAGGATGCCGGTGGGTTCGCCGAAGGGGCTGGATCAAGCGTAGACACGCGGAGATTAGCTTACATCCCGGAATACCGGGTGTACAATCGCGAGCGCGAGATCGAGAGACAGGAAAGGGAGAAAAAGGAAAAACAGTGGGAGGAGGAACTGAACACTGCCATGAAGGGTGCCGAAGAAAGACTCAAGTACGCTCATAGTAAAAAAATTCCTCGGAGTTATTGACATATTTTTCTCTTTCTTTTTTCTCCTCTCATTCCGATTTTTTCGTCGATAGCTATTGTTGAAGATAAATGTTTCAAATTGAATAATCCTGTGTTCTATTTCGTTTTTTCAATATTTCCTGATATCCTCAACTCTCGCAAATAATCCCATGTTCTGGAATTGAGACTCCGCATGACACCGTGTACGTTAATCTCTCCTGAGCGATGCAACATGTCTCTCCCTCAGCGTTCGCACACGTAGCGATATATCCGTACCGGAACCCTTTGATTACAGAACAAAGCAGCAACATCTGCTAGCCCAGCGAACTGGAAACCGATTGAGCGTCTCGACGACGAGCGTCAAAGCGCGCATAAGCGCATCGCCAAGACAAGGTCGCCGAGCGAGCGCCGCGACGTCCTCGGACATCGACTTCATCGATGCAAGTCCGGAGCCTAGTACGTCTTAGATAATACTGAACACGCTATATTCGATGTAGCCTATATGAGAGCAGTAGCATTGGTGGATCCAAAAAGTCCTCAAGAGGTGCCATTGGCGCGCTGAAAACGAAATTTTTTTTAAGATCAAATATGAAAAGATAAAATGCTAAATTATTGTATAGAAAAAATATTATTTGAGATGTATAATTTATAAATATATATAATTTATATAACTATAAAGAGATGCATAATTGATATAATAAATTTTATTTAAAATTATGTTAACATGAAAGAAGAATAATAACAAAATTTTGTGTTATTTATTCTAGGAATTTCTTAAATTAAAAAATATTTTTGGAGTATCAGAATTGTGATTAAGTATTTTAGAAATATTAAAAAAATATATAATATTTTGCTATTTATTTTGTTAAATATTTATGAAAAAGGAGATTCCAAGGAGGGAGACATGGCCTCCATGGCTCCCTTGGATCCGCCAATGAATAGATTTCTTCAATCCTACAAATGCACTGGAACTCCGACAAATCCCTCGCACTTATAAAAAGAAATGTCTCTCTAACATTCAATTATCTCTCACACTAAAATTTCAAACAAGGAAAGAAATAAGAAAAAATTCCATTTGTAGATGAAGTTTTTTATACTCTTCTTGAAAAGATACATGACGATATATATTACACTTAGCTCTTATTTTTCTATCTATCTTGTTTCAATATGGGGCGGTTTATCTTTAAAACTCTTTCCCTATATTCTCCTACATTGGATCTTCACGGTCACAATGTTTATTTTTGATTATGCTTCGAAAGGAATCGAGAAACGTGAATTTCAAGGCCTCCGTATTCTTTCTGGTGCTATACTGAATAAGTAATACTCCATTCGAATGTTCAGTTTGAATTTTTTGGAGGAATTTTATAAATAGAACTGATAACGTATCGGTTATCGTAATATCGCAATTTGTTAATAACTATTTTCATTCGCAATACTCTGAAAATGATAGATAGCAGCTGGAGGTAATCACTCAAATTAACAAAAAATCAAAATGATTTTATTTTAATTCTTAATAAACAGTTAAATTTTATAATAAAAAATCATCATTTTGACTTTGACGACGTCAACATAAAGTCATTTTGACTTTCTCTTAACTTGTGTGTTCCTTGGGCGCACATCATCGTAAGCTCTATCAGACACAGCAGTGTACACTTAATCATTGTACCAGGAAATGTGCATTTATGAGATTATCATTTCGAGATTATCTCGCAATCTCCAACTAATAACATAGCTTATTTTTGAAATGAATAACTGATCTTATCTTTATTTCAGTAGCAAATTTTTTTTATCGTTTCAAAGACCTGATTGCATTATGACTCTTAGATTAAAACGCACGTCTCCGATAAATATATAGAATATAAATTAATCCTTTCAGTACAAGTCAGACCGTGCATCACTTTTAAAATTCTTTAAGGAAAATATCTTTCATTTCACTTTTTCCAAAAATCGCTACCGTACTACATTTATGCGCATTATTATCTAACAATAAGTAATATATGAAATGTTCTACAGCGTTAATTAGAATCACAACGATAATCGCGTTTAGAAGGGTGTAAAAAAAAGATTGTAGATGAAAAAGATTTCTTGGTGGTCTAAGAATGTTAAGTGAATATGTGCGAGATAAATTTTAACACTTACCTTTATCTAATTACGGTACTGAAAGGATTACGGCGTATATACTAATAATTACTTTATGACGGGACTGGGAACAAAATATGACCTACATATAACAAATATATATATATATA